GTGCCTATTCAGCAGTTCCCTACTGGTATGTGTTGTGATAAGTCAGGCTGGTGTTTCGGGTTTTTGGTATTAATTTAACTTTTAAAGGCTCTCCATGGCTATATATATTAGCATTGAAAGGTTCTCATCCTAGTGTGCTGTAGCTGTGCTAATGATTTCACAGCTTCAATTCAGGTGTTTTTGACGTGGTCTGGCTGGCCTTGGGTGTTTGTCCTTTGAAATGTGTATTTGGTGGAATTCAAGGCCCAGTGTTGGTGGGAGTGGGGCTGACTGTATTTTTTGGTGTTTCCTTAACAGAAGACTGGAGCGCCCAGCCGGCCACTGAAGACTGGTCTGCAGCTCCCACTGCTCAGGCCACTGAATGGGTAGGAACAACCACTGAGTGGTCTTAAGCTGGTCTTCCACAAAGGCACACAAAATGGAAATAGAAATGGAAAAGGTTGACGGAAAATAAACAGTTTGTAAAAGTCTTGTCCATTTCTGTTTATTTTGCATTCCAGATCAAGAAATGCCTGGGATTACTTCAGGTCCTGACTTACTTCTAAAGCCCACTTAAGAGAAACTCTAAAAAGATACTGGTTCTTACTTGAGAGTTTCTTTTCACTTCCTTTTTGTGTAAGGAACAGCTGTTCTGAAAATAGATTTAGGGGTGCCTAGGTGGTTCAGTCTGTTGAGTGTCCCACTTCTGATTTCAGCTCAGGTCATGATCTCGGTTATGGGATAGAGCCCCGTGGGTGTGGAGCCTGGTTAAGATTCTCCCACCCCACCCCCCACTGGTGTATACTCTAAAAAAAATTGATTTAAATAATTGTAAATAGGTGGTGACCCTGGGAATATTTTTTCTAGGTTCAGACCTGATAACTCTCTCATTGCCATCTGCCCTGGTAAATTGTGGAGCCAGAGTTCGAGCAAATTGCTTTTCAGTGACACCCTTGCTGTATGCCAGTTGTGGGCCAATCCTCGAGTAACATACAGTATTTGAAAACCTGCCTAGGGCAAAGGTGGGATGCAGTCTTTCCTATTCTGGAACTACTGGAGGGGCCCCAGCCTGTCACCAGGTCAGCTGGCCTACTGGTTCTGGGAGGGTTGTACAGGTGTATAAAAATGTTATCACATTGTGCTCTTCATTATCTGCCATTTTCTATGTATTTTCCATTCTATTTAAAATGCAGTACTCCTGCATTGATTTCACAATAACATTTGACCCATTAAAAATTCCAGAGAAATAGGGTGGACCCAGGTTTTTGACGAACCTGAGTTACATTGATTGACTCCCCTCTTGGAAGAGCTATAAATATCCGTGTGACCTGATTCCCGGGGCCACTTCCAATAGTGAAGGGATTCCATAGCTCAAGCATCATTGGCTTCATGGGGATTCTGCCCTGGCAATGCAGAACAAGTTTGGATGCCTCTACCATAAAACTGCAAAGCTCCAGTGTGCATAGGCCTTGAACCCATACATTTTGTAGTGCTGCAAATGGTCATGAACACCAGTTAATTCCTGGAATCAGGATGGCTGGAGGGACGGACCAGGTGCATGAGGAGGACCAGAAAGAAAATTGGGAGTCGGGGAGAGGTGTAGCTCGTTTAACAGCCTATTAGTATGTTTTGGGGTGGAGGGGTGGGGAACAAGGGATAGGAAAACTGGCATTTCGTGGCAACTTAATCTGTATTCTGGAAAATAATGCTGGCATCAAAGGCTGACTCCCAAGCTGTGTGTGCTAGTGGCCAGGACCTCCAACTAGAGCCCTTGCTGTGTTTCTTTTTGTCCCTTGCTTGGGCACTTGTCCCTTGGCATTCACACGGTAGTTCCACAAGCAGGCTTCTTTTTTTCCTAGAACCTTAAGTTCCTAAAGTTCAGAGCGAAGACCACCAGCTGGCCTCTCCGGGCATGGTTGGTTTATGCCCAGCATGATGCAGCCAGGAGATGGAAGTGGAATTTTTCACAGATCTTACCCACCTGGCTTTAGTTTGCGCAGGGCTTCACACCCTCTTCCTGCCTCCAGGAGAATTATTTGATCTCGTTTCTCTTGTCAACAGCTGCTGCTGAGATTCTGCTCCAATTTGGGACCACAAGGTGGCCCAGACCTAAGTCACACCACTCTGGGACAACAGCTCCCCCATGGCTGCAGAGCCTGTACCTTTAAGCCAGCACGAACTGGAATAGGCATTTTTAACCAATCCAAACTCACTTCGGCTCGGTGGTGCCTACCTGATGGTTAGTCCCTAAGGCCTGCTGAATCTAAGTGACAAATTAATGTCCCCCTCCACGTGTTAACCCTGCAACTGGCAGCTTTCCCCCTTGGGTGTTAGCAGCCTTGATCTTCCCGGGGACTGTTGGAGGGAGGAGGACCTTCCCTTCCTCCCCTGCCCTGCATTTGATTTGGCCAAGGGGGCCACCTCCTTTTTTCCCTTGGCACCTCTCCCATCTGTTCACACTAGGACAGTCTTCCAGGATGCAGTTAACTCAGTTCTCTTGTCCCACCTGATCTTGGAAACTGCTGTGAATAACACATGGCTTATGATTTTTTTTCTCTTTATTGTGGAAACAATACCGTAAGAAGAAATGTCCAGCTTAAGATTTTTCTTGTTTTTATCACAGCTTCCAGCTCTTGATGCACTTCTTGGATTTTGTCTTCTAAACTTAGAGAAAGTGAATTACATCCAGAAGTTTTGTAGAGTTGCCCCTTTTGTCCCTCTGCTTTCCTAAATACCTTGGGGGCTTCTTGCATAGAACACATTTCTTAGTACATCCCAGTACAAAGGCAAATCAGCATCCCCACTGAATTCAGCCTAACACAGAACTTGACGCTTGGTAGATACTAGTGAGTGAGTACTCTGAGTGAACGGAGACAGTGGTTAAGGATCGCTCAGTCAGTTAAGCATCCGACTCGATTTTGGCTCAGGTCATGATCTCAGGGTTGTGAGATTGAGCCCCACATCAGGCTCCATGCTGGGCATGGGGTCTGCTTGGGATTCTCTCTCTCTCTTCCTCATGCCCCTACCCCCTTGAGTGCTCTCTCCCTCTCTCCCTCTTTCCTTCTCTCTCTGATAAAATCTTTAAAATTAAAGAATAAGTCTTAGAGATTTCCAAAGCATTTAAGAAAGAGCTGGAGGGTTAAATTCCATTTGGCAAGCCTCAGGCTCTCAAGACTGGAGGTGCCCATTCTTGCACAATATTCGGCAGCACAGGGCTCACTTCACAGGCAGCTGCATCACCTGTTCTAAAACTTCCCTAGAGTGTTACAGTCTGCTCCCCTACGTCAAAGCCTCAATTTCACACGGTGTTTCAGGGACATGCTACACTCCCCAAGGTTGGCTTGGGTTGAGGTCTTCTGGTGAGGGGGTGGGTGAGACTGGGTCTGGTCTGGGCCATGGTCCTGCACCAAGGACACCCTCACCCAGTGACCTGTGAAAGGATTCTGGCTGTTGCATTACCCTGGACATCATGTGCTATGAGTGAGGCCGATAGCAGAGCATACTTGGGAATCAGCTATGCCTGAGATGATGAAAGCAAGCCCTGCCTAGCTCCTTCCTCATGTATGGCTCTGGGCAAGAGATGTCTCCCAGTGGCCCAAGTGGCCCCAGCATGGGGATAATCATGGGGTTGTGATTCAGAGATTGTTATGCACAGCAATTAGCCTGGATCCTGGCCTGTAGCAAACACTCATTCTATGTATCACATTGTCTTTTGTTAGCGCATAATTTAAAAAGAATTTTTAATTGTAAAATGCATCATGTATGCAGATGACTACAAAAGATATATTTGTATATTCTAGAAAAATAAGAATCAAAAGAAAGCCTCTGTAATCATTACATGGGTTTTGAAATAGAAAGGTACCAGGACCTGAGAAAGTTGTCAAGTGAGCCTCCTCTTCCTTGCTTGCCCCTGTAGTCACAGGGTTCCTCTCCTATAATCCGTTGGTTCACCTGATTTACCTAAGTGTGCCCTTTCAATCAAGAATTGTTTAGTTTCCCTGTTTTTGAGTTTCCTATAAATGTATTCCTAGCATATTTTCTTGTGTCATTTGCTTCTTTTTTTAATTTTAATTTTTTTGGTGGGGAGGGCAGAGGGAGAGAGAGAGAGAATCAACCTCACAACCCTGAGTCATGACCTGAGCCAAAATCAAGAGTTGGATGCTTGGGCGCCTGGGTAGCTCAGTTGGTTGAGCGACTGCCTTCGGCTCAGGTCATGATCCTGGAGTCCCGGGATCGAGTCCCGCATCGGGCTCCCTGCGCAGGGAGTCTGCTTCTCCCTCTGACCCTCTTCCCTCTTGTGCTCTCTATCTCTCATTCTCTCTCTCTCAAATAAATAAATCTTTAAAAAAAAAAAAAAAAAAGAGTTGGATGCTTAACTGACTGAGCCACCCAGGCGCCCCTTGTGTAATTTACTTCTTGCCTTTGGTGTTACTTTGTGCCTTTCAATCCAGTTGCCATGTTCCTACAGAATCATCCATGATATCAAGATCCTGCAATGGCCATTTGGGTTGTTTCCATGTTCTGACCATTATCAACAGAACTACTTTGATATTTTTGATATACTACTTTGAATATTTTGATAGATCCTGGTGCACCAAAATTTCCCCACTGTGGCCTTCAACTCTAACTTCACCAGATAATGTCAGATGGTTTCACAATAGTATACAAAATCCTATGAAAACACAACCACAACCCTCAGTACCTTGTAGTGAAAACACCATCCTTTCTTCACTGCTCAGAACTGCTGCCTCTCAAAATCTAGGGACCGTCCATGCAAGGTCTGATCCTGATCTCTCTATTCTACCCCTGCTCTAGGAGTCAGTCCCTGGGCCAATGCCACACTGTTCTTCCTCTTTACTAGAATTTTATAACATCATGGCAATAGGTAGAGCAATCCTACTCCCTTCCTCCTCTTGATCATTTTGCATCGTTATATACATTTTTTAATCAGTACAGTTCCACTATAAATCCAGTTGGGATTGTATTGATTCTATTAATTTAGACCAGTATTGACTGACATTGAGTTTTTCAATCCATGAACAACCCATATATCTTGCCATTTTCTCATTTTATGTCCTTCCCTCAGTGAAATTTTGTAAGTTTTCCCGAAATGGTTTTGCACATCTTTTGGTAAATTTATTCCTAGACACTCAAGATATTTTAAACTGTACTCTTTAAGAAGCCACTATCAGGAATCCTGTTGTAACAGCTTAATCCATATTCCAAGTAACATAGACACCCAATGGTAAATGTCACTATTGCCATGGGGCTTCTGACTGCCTGAGCAATCCAGACCACTTGTGCAAGGCAAGAATGACCTTACTAAATTCCATCCATGAAAAGCCTGCTCCAAACCTACACGCCACACTTTGTACTCATTCAGTAGAGCAGAACCTGTCATACTTCTGGTGCT